TCTGGTATTTTCAGATGCAGGGTGCACAAACTGAGGAACATGTTCTGGACTCTCCATTGTTATTAGTTTACATCTGAATTCCAGAACAATATCTGGCACGTCTACAGTAGTCTGGAATATTTTTTCAACAATACAGGTGTTATGGTGGCATTATTGCAGTTGTCGTTTTCGAGAAACTGAATTTCAGCCTTTAAAATTGCATTTTAGCCTTTGGAAAGGCTGAAATTCAGTTTCTCAAAAACTACACTGGCGATTTTCAAATAACTTTCAGAAAAGATTCGAAACTTCATAGCAATGTATTTTCTTCAATAATAAATGGTAGGTCACCATGCTTATTTGTCTGCTAAGTCAGCTTTTTTGGTTGATATAGGCCAAATAGAGAGTGATTGTGGGTTAAAATTACGTTTTTATGTGAAAGGAAACAATGGCTTTTTAGATTCAAATAGCTTTTAGGCGGTTTTCCACTCAGATTGAACTAAACAGAAATCTTTTGAATTTGAACAATAGAAATTTTGCTTAGGCCTTAGTAGAAAACCGCCATTAGGTTAATACGATTTTTACATTATAATTGTACAAAGTATAAACGTAAACCTCATATACGCTGAATAACTTAACATATCTTCCATAATTATTTTGAAAATTAAAATATTTTGTGATTAAATTAAAAAGTAATAATATTTTTTATTTTTTTACAGTTCATTGTTAAAAATGTATAAAAAACAAAAAGGATTGTGTCAGCCCACAACCAAAAAATGAGGTGTTTGTTTAGCAAGGCATGGGGTTTATACATGTATGTATTTTATATAGTTTAATAATGGGGTAAGCATACCTTTCTCTTTTTAATTGGGTTCGCATTGATGGTGGCAACTTCCATTGCTGTTTGTGCCCACCAGAATAAGATCAGTGAGCTCTATATTGGCACTGGATAAAAAACTGAAACGTAATTATATTGATGCATACTGCCCTGCTGTGAGACATCAATATAATTATTGTCTTTTTAGAATTAAATATACATTTAGCATCCAACTGTGCCTCACTGGAGACAAACAGCTGATCAATAGAAAATTTAAAATGCTTTGTGTACAAAGCAGGGGCAGATCCATACCGATGCCAACGATGCAAGCATCGGTCAAAATTGAGAAATCATATTGCTTGAAATAAATTATAGACATATTATGCTGTCATCAATAGAATCTCTCCAGCTATCAAACTGCAAATATTTGCTTAAACTTGACTCCATGTCAGGAATACCCTATTTAGGATGAAATCCAATTTAAATAGTCTCAATAACAGGGCCTCTTTTAACATAAAGACTGGGGGGGACATGGCCCCCCAGCCCCCCTTACTGCCCCCCCAGTCGGCAATTTTGTCCCCCCCAGTAGAAAGTCCCTTTTCATATTTTTTGGTGTGAAAATAACTCCCAAAGTCAATATTGGACAACATAATTAATCCTTATTCCAGTATTCCTTTCGCAGAATCTCTGCTATTCCTTTGCCTTCCCTTTCTGGACAATGAAAAATAGAAAAATAGTCAAATAGGAAATTTCGATCTGCAAAAAAATATTTTTCAAAGTGGGACTGGGAACGAAAGTGGGAACATTGGGATTTTGGGGAAAATCTCGGGATATTCGGGAAGCTTAGTTGGGAATTTCAAAAACATAATTTACATCAAAATTTACATGCAAATTGCTTGCCTTTGTTTGTACTATTAGTATTAAAAATGCCGTATGCAAATAAAAGAAAAGCGAATATTGAAAAACTGTTAAAACAAGAAGCGAGTAAATGCAAAAAGGTATCGGATTTCTTCACAAAGAACGAAAATGCAAGAACATCGTCATCGACATCGTGCGATACAAACGTTGAGAAGGAGTCAGAACAATTATTAAATATGGCGCCAATTGAAGTGGAAAGCGAAGTACAAGGCACTGCAGCTACTGGAGGCACTGACCAAGGAGAACCTCGTAAAGACAATGAACTGAATGAAGTGGATTTTGATATTCGAAATTCAGATAGGGAAGGTAATGTTCAATTTGTTCATACACGGGCTCCTTCGAATAATATTAGCGAGGTTTAGCAAAGACGACGCGACGTCAAAGACGACGTGAAAATGGCGTAAAAATGGCGTAGGCACATCCATAGATGGGCATATCACGCCATTTTTACGCCATTTTCACGTCGTCTTTGACGTCGCGTCGTCTTTGCTAAACCTCGCTATTCCAAGCAATACTACACCTTCGACCTTATCGTCAACAAGCTCTGCAAATATAAACAGCATTACTTTGGTTACAACAAGTGACGTTGGTTTGCCAATAAGCACAGCAAACACATCGTCAACGCAAATGACTACTGAAACCACTACTGAGTATTACAGAGGCTACCCATTAAACCTAAAAGCACTTCTAGGAAAATTTGGAGATGGTGTACTATCTCAATATTATGAACGAAGTAGAGTTTCAACGCAGAATCGCCAGAGAGCTAGGGTTTTTGTCAAGTGTTGCATCTGTGGTGAATTCGAAGAGGAAGCAAAGCGCTTTTCAGCTAATGGTAGAGTGTACATGGCACAAGGTGTGCGTTGTGATGGGAAGAAAAAGATACAAGATGTAATTGATCATCTACTGGGGCCTTCACATAGAGCAGCTCAAGAAAAGAAACAGCTATCCAAGTTGTGGAATGCCAAAGACAAACGTCACCCATTTATTAACTTGGCAACAAAAATCCAACAGTTTTGAAGACCTTGACTGAAATGGCAGAAGAGGTCTATAATGACAGTAAATCTTTGACTTTAGCTGCCTGGTCATGGCCAGGTAGATCTCTTGCTAATTTACATGCACAACAACAGTTTAGGTCTTTAACTGACAGTGACAACGTACAAAGTTTTACCCCGTTTAAACCAAGTGGAGAGGAACTTCATTATAGGGATCCAATGCATTATGCAGAAATGTTGGAGATAATAGGAGATACAGAGAGAAAGCACCTTAGAGAAGAACTCCAGAACTGTATTTGTTTTGCTGCACAAATGGATGGTTCTGTCGATGCTAGGCAACAAGATAAGAAATTTATATTTGTTCGATTCAATACACCCGAGGACCCTCTTTCTATTAAGACAAGATTTGCAAGTGCAAGGGAAAGTACCAAGCGTGGTGCTGAAGGTTTGTGTTCTGCCATGACAAACTGTTTTGATGACATGGGCCTTTCTAAAGAATGTTTGCAGTCAAAATTTGTTGGGATGAGCACCGATGGAGAGTCTGCAAACACTGGTAAGGATTCTGGACTGTGGGCTAGAGTTGAAAATTATGTTGGTCGTTCAACAAGAAATATCTGGTGTGCATGTCACCGATCAGACTTAGCAATGGAAGATGTGATGAGGTAATAATAATAATAAATTAATAATAATAAAATAATGATTACAATATTTCATTAGGAAGTCCACTCACAAAAGAGATTTTAAGTGAAGCCCTGAGCAAAAAAAGATAAAAAAATAAATTATAAGGCTATATTAATGTTAACATTTATAATGTCTTAGGTTGGTACCTGAACTGAAAATCTGGCTTTCCAATGTAACGGGAGTAGCTACTTATTACCGCACATCAGGCCTAAGGACTAAGGAGTTGAAGACCATAAAACCAGACATGAGAAGTTTTCCTCCTCATCATGAGGTAAGGTTTGCTCAACATCTTGTTCAACTTTGTGGAGCGATACTATTCAATTTAGATGGATGTTTAAAGCACTGGCAAAAGATTTGTGATGCTCCTCGAGAATATAATACCAAGGAGGTATCGTCTGCAAAAAGATTTTTAAAGTTGTGGCAACCAACAGGAGTGCAAGCATGGCTAACTGCTGTTATGGTGGACACATGCTGTATCTTCAGATATATTGAAAAAGAAGCCCAGAAGCCTGGCATTATCATTCCTGATATCTTGAAGTACAGAGATACTGCCTTGCCAAAACTTGATATAATGCAAACAGAGCCATATCCAGGTAAAATATATATAGTTAGTAAGTTACTTTGTTTATAGAAAACAAATTGAACTCACTCTTATTTGAGTTCTTTAACAAAGGTGTATTTTTCATTACATTGTATGTTATTTTACTGCACATAGGTGGGCAGGAGGAGTTATTAACAAAGAAGATTGCAGAACTGCATCCAGAGAATGATGAAGCAGTGGATAATACACCAAGAAGGACACACAACACCAATGTGACAACGTTTCGTAGAGGAAAACAAACTATCAGGCAAGAGGTTATTGATTCTTCAAGGAATTTTCTCCAGATAAAATGAGATAAATAGGTAATCTCATATCTGTTTAGCAATCAGGTCACACCATATAAAGTTTTTAATTACTATTACCTATATTTTTTATGTATATCATTATCATGTTTAGACCAGGCTCAACGAGGAACAAACAGAAATTGTAACAACCATTATGAACTTGACCTCAGCAAAACGTGCAATTGAATTCATCAACATTGCATTACCTCAACTTGAATCAAGTGGAATCAGTGATAAACAAGCATTTATTGATGCAGTTTTAGAAAATTTTACGGAAATGCTTCCGGATACACATATTCCTGCAAGAGACTATGGTGTGAGACTCTACCAAATGCTAAGGGGCAGCAAACAACCTGTGACCAAGTTTTTGTCAGGTTTTTGTGTTCTCTGCCCTCACAGTATGACGGGGGAAAGATGTGTGTCAACGTACAACATGTTATTCTCCAACCTGAGAATGGCCACATCTGAAAAAACACTGAATGATAGGCTATTGATTCACTGGAATGGAGTGCCAACATCTCAGTTTGACCCCAGTCCTATGGTGCAAGAATTTCTACAGAAAAAACAGAGGCGAATGAATTTTCCTAATCTGAGTTCATATGCGGAACGTGACTTCGTAAAGAAGTTTTTTACATCGGACTGCTGATTGATAGATTACATGTATATAGTGGTATACTGTATAGATGAGTTTCACTAGCTGCCTGGCAATTATATATAAGTGAGAAAAAGATGTGTTGACAACTTGACATTATTTTCTAAATTTGACCATCATCTGCTGCCCTAGAGCGAAACCCATATTTAAGCTAGTAGCCGCAATTTTATAGACTTTAGTAGATTTTTTTCAGGTCCCCTTTTTACGTTATTTTTGGTCCCTTGGGAAAGATGTCCCACCCAGTTACATATCCTTAAAAGAGGCCCTGAGATTTGAAAAAGACAAATTCACGATCCGTGGCACAACATTAAACACTTTCCAAACTGAACGTTCTTTTTCCCTTTTCATGGGTTAGGAACCATTAAACAGCAAGATATGAGGACGTTACGTCCTCTGATTTTGCTGCGACCTCTGAACAAATCATATCCAGACCGGAACCGTAATCGAACGTCATTCTTGTGTATTACTAGGAACAAAACCTTTTTTTCATTTCTAGTTGATATTACCCACTGAACTCAAAACGAACATGATCATAACCAACTCTTTCTCTTAACTTGTACAATACTAATCAATAGGTTTTATTTTTTCTATTTTAAAAAATATTTTAATTAAAATGTGTTTGCCCCAAGGGCGTACACGCTCATCTAGGGGGCTTACTCGAAATAAGTTTTTATCTCAGACTCTTTAATTTTGTAAATATTTAGTAACCAGTATAACATTTTTATAATTAGTTTTGTAATTCATGTTTTGTAATGCGATAATTACAATTATTAAATGAGGTTGAGCATGATATTGAGGCTGAGAACACAAACTGAGGGTTTGATAATTTTTCATATCTTTTGAAAACCGAATTCAACAATTGGGGTGGTCGGTGGGGTTGGGGTGGAGGAGCGAGAGTCATCGCTCACTCAATAACCTTTGAAAGCCTGTGAATGTTTAACGGTGTAACAAAGTTGTAGCAATATTTTACAACAATGAAAGTATTCATAGGCTATAATTTATGCAATTGAACGTTTAAGAACGAACATGTGTCACAAAATGATGTTAGCAACTTAAATTCGCACCCTCAATACTTCGCAAAGTGTCCGCAACTGGAAACCAATTACTTGTGTACGTGCAATACTAACCGCACTAATATTATAAAAGGAACTTCAGCGATTATAAACTGGTTTTCTTCAAAGACAATGGTCACACATTTATGCAAGAAAGGCACATTCATAATGGGGTTTATTGGGCGTAACTTCATTGCACGCCCCAGTGAGCTTCATGGAGGAAAAGGACGATGATGATGGCGGAAATTGACGCAGGGTTCGTACACCTTCTCCCATTTAAAATTCCATGACTTTTCCATGACTTTCCATGACCATTATTTTCAAAATCCATGACCTGGAAGTCTGGAATTTCTGAAATTCGTCAAAATATTTTAACAATAACAGATATAATAAAAGAACAAAATTCACTTCGCTCTTGCAAAAATCCGTTATATAACAACAATTCATATTATTGTTATGACTGGTAAATTGAAACAAGTAAAATACTTTGTTGATGTTGTGTAAAATTTCAATTTTCCATGACTTTCCATGACTAAAATTGATTTTCCAGGATTTCCAGGCCTGGATTTTGGAATATTGAAATTCCATGACTTTCCAGGTTTTCCATGACTTTCCAGGTTTTCCATGACTTTCCAGGTTTTCCAGGACCCGTACGAACCCTGTTGACGTCCAATTCTACAGCTTTTTAAATACCATTTTCCATCTCCTTGCAGCTTCGTGTTTAACCTGAGTATCAGGCCGTACTTTTTAGGGCACAGGCACGCCTGATCGCGGGCGAAGGGACATTTCGCGTTCTACTGATTTGAAATAAAGTAAATAAAATAAAGCCTGATACTCAGGTTACTTCGTGTTAGGCGCGCAGACAAAAACAATAGAAAAGAAACTGACGTCCAATAGCTCCATCTTAGTTTCACTTTTTGGACTCGAGTTCTCACTCCAGTTATACATGGAGCTCGCTGACACGCCCCTCTCCTCCGCAGAGCCACCTGAAGTAATTAAAAATAATTTACATGAAGTTTCCCAATACAGTTAAAGTGAGTGCGCGGGGACCATCACTCCCTGTGCGCGCACGTTTCCTTCACTAGAAACTTCATGTAAGCCTCTGCGGAGGAGAGAGTTTGCATGCGTCATTTGTGCGATTTATGGCAGATTATAACCAAAGTAAAATATCACTATCAATATAATTTAACGTTAACATGTACATCACTTTACGTGGTCGTTGCTCTAGTTCGATCCTATATTTGGACAAAGTGACATGATCAATGTACGCACAACTCAACGTCTTTGACGCATTTGTCTATTTATCAGGTTGCTTCGAAAAATATCCCATTCCTTTGTCGACATCGGGTTTTATCTACAAAACATAAAAATTACCAAGTGATCATCACGACTCTTTACCTTACGAGATACAGTAACCAAACTGGAGGTCTATTCAGACGCTCTCCGTATGCGAATCAGATGTAAACAGGGCGGTAGGAAGATCGATAATATGGGGGGGGGGGCTCATATTCATATATCCGTGTTCTGCATTATCCACTTCTTCTGTAAACATGAATATATGAATATGAGCCCCCCCCCAATTATCGATCTTCCTACGCCTACGGCCCCTGTGTAAAGGAATACACTGTAAGAAACTGGAGTTCATTATTCCGCATTCTGATTAGCGGCTTGTTTCCAGTTGTCCTCCACAGATCATGCATGAGCACGCAATCATAAGATAAGCGTAAGTATACGAACATAAGCGTAAAAGCGAATGCTTTGATATTCTTACGTTTGCGTTGTTCTCACTGTCATCATGGATAATAAAATAAATGGATTGGAAACTTCTGACGTCATTGACTGCATCCTTGTTGAAAAACGTGACGTCACGCGTATTGCGAATGTTACCAAAGTTCTCGCCATATTTGTGGTTTTGCTATATTTTCCACTTTAAAAAAGGGTGATCTTGAAGCGTAAACTGGTCTAATTGTTTTAAAAACATGCCTAAGCCACGACAAAGTATTCAAGGTAAATGTTTTTCGTCTTTGTTTTGTATTTTTTTACATTTGTAGCTACGAAATTGGCGTCACAAATTTTAACGAAATTTGCGATGTATTTTTCACTGTTTAGTGCTTGAAATATTTGCTAAAATTGACTGGGAATACTTAGAGTTTTCATCGTAGAATGGCGTGGTTACATTATTTGCTCTTTGACTAGAATGTTTAGCTGTATTATTGCTAAACATGCCGTTTTTGAGAATTTGATTTTCAACTAGGTCGAGGCATCCAACCACGCCATCAATCCCAGTAAAAACATTAGGTCACGTCAGCTAGTTTCCTATCCATTTATTTTATTATCCATGCTGTCACGTAAACAACATCAGCATGAGGAAAGAATGCAACATTTTGATATTCTTATAGCTGAGTTATGCTTGCGTTATGTCGCAATGAGAACAGTACATAAGAAATCAACAGCATGATACTTTTATGTTTCTGCACCAATCAATGTTTTGCGCGACCCCAGGGACAAACGCAGGAGCACTTGACATTTTTAATGTTTCCGTGTCAACACCTTCCACTGTAGAGCAGCCGTTTGTGGTCAAATTCCCGCTCTCTACAGTTGTTCATGTTTTATAATCCATCTTTTAGAGCACATGTTCACTAGAATAATTCACTTATTTATGCCACTATTGCTAGTTCAAATACCTAACTGAACCATACAGTACTCATTGATTACTGTAAGCGGCGTTTGGAACGAGCAATTATTGTTGTAGAATGACCCACGGGAGATCACTGATTGGTGCATTATAGAGTTGCATTGTTGAAGAGTTTTACAAAATAGAGAAAAAAACACTTACGGTATCACAACCAGGTTTCCAACCAGCTGGACAAACTATACGATAAATTATACAAAAGTCAGAAGTATGCAAAACAACCTGTGGCTGGTTGCATAAAAATGTAGTTAAAGTTAACTAAATACAGTTAATGCCAAAGTTAACCAATCAAAATCGCGTATTTTTTTAGTTAACTACCATTTATTTTAGAGGGTCGTTATACAACCGGCTCCTGTTTTTCACTTCAACCATATCCTAACATACCCTACAGTATATAAAACATTTCTTTTTTTGTGCCTTTTGCGCCAAAACAACGAAAAATGTTTGTTTGTCTGTCTGCCAAACTGTACACATATTTATTAACAGACTCATCAAACTAAATGAAGATTGGTCAACCTGACAGTTGTACGCTATGAAAAATTCGTTAGAATTTTGGTTAAATGTCATTATGAATGGAAATTTTTAAAAAGACACATAATACTACTCTCCTCCGCGGAGGTTTCCATAAGTTTGCCGTAATTTTCCACTGAAGAGTGTATTTGTGGGCGCATGCGAAAATGTGAAAAAAATCCCCGACGTCCTCCTATTATTAAATATGTAAAATATATTAGCATACCTTCACCATGTTTGTCAGTAAACTGGAAAGCTTGAACAAGACGTAAAGTTTCATCAACAGATCTTCCAACAGGCAAGTCATTCACTGTAATCTGCCTCAAAATACCTTTGTCGTCGATAATAAATAGACCACTAAAATTTAGAACGTTTTTTGTAATTTTATTATCTTCCTCACCTAAGTTCAAGTATATGCATAGATATTGTTATATAAAACCTAAACCAAGAGATGGGATATGACCATAGAAATACTATGTTTAATAAATACATGTCTATTCTATGGATATGACGCACAATTTCAAAATGCAGAGTAAGAAAAGGGAGGTCTGTACTGGACTAGTCGGAAGAGTCAACATATCAAGTGGGGTTACTGGATCAGAGAGATTGTATCATCGCGGGAAAAGCAGGATTTTATATCACAGGGAAAAGTGGGATTGAGTATAACACCATGGGATAACAAGAATTGAATTAAAATTAGTCAGGATTTTGGAAACAGGTACAAGCGCCTCTAACAACAATTATAATGTTTATCTTTCAAAAGCTATAATTACCGTAAGGAAATGCCTTGTTCCTCCAATAACACTCCATAATCTTTTGAAATTTGTTTTGTTATATCTGACAAAATTGGAATGTCCATCTGACCAAGGCCACCTTTCTTTCGTGGTTGGGATGTCCTACAAAATACATGCTGTATTTATAGCAATGTTTTACACTGTTTTGCCTATAAAATTCATTTTGCATAAGGCTCAATTGGTAGATCAAGCAGTGGTGCTTCCAGGATTTTATTAGGGGGGGGGGGGACCTAATAATTCGTAAAGTCGCGATCTAGGGGGGGGGGGGTCCAGGGACATGCTACCCGGAATTTTGGGTCTCTGGCATTTTCTGCATGTGGAGGCACTTGAAGAAAAATGTAAAGGTCTTTATTATAAAATCATTTTGAAATCAATCTGATTGGTCAAACATAGCTATAATGTAATCAATTCCCAAACCATTCACAGTGCATTTCCAAGCCAATGAGAATGGAGCTCTGCACCAGGAGAAGCAATCAAATGAAAGAAACTTTTAGAATTCAACTAGTCAATCAATTTTAAGAAAAATGTGATATTGGCAAGTGAGCAAATTAAAGAAATTCAGAAATTTTCTAAATGTTATTATTACTCTTGACTTGCACATAAAAAAACCCCAAAAATTGGATAGCTAAACTACAGACTCTGAGGCTAAACTGTGAAATAATTGTAAGGAATTTTTCACAAATAGTAACAACTTAAAATGATGCGTCAGGCAAAACAAGGTAAATTCATCTATCATAGTTCCAATGTTTAAATGCAAATAACCACGTTAAAACTATATCAAATCACTTGTTTCAACTTACTTGTGTTGTCTTTTATTCTTTGCAAAGTAATATCTTTAATTCATTAACAATTTTAACAATTTTCCTTGTTGCTATGCTACGGCATAGTATCAGGGGGTGTTTTTTTGTAAACAAGAATTGTATTTCTGGCTTACTAAAATGTTTTAGACTTCAAATAAAATTGTTTGGAATCAAACTTGCGATTACAAATTACACTCCCACTTCTGTGCAATTCTGTACCGCATTGACTTCAAACTACACTTTAAAAAACAATGGGGACGGCTTCTCCCACAGGTGCTTAAAACCCATATAAATTTTTCCTTTATGCTTTCACCAAGTACTGTCCAGTTTTACTGTCTTGTGCCAGAATGTTTTACTCTAATGATGCCTGGCAAGGCTAAAAAGATACAATACTAAAGAATTATAGTACATACCATGCTAAATGGCAGAAATGTGAATCAACTGAACATGCAATTACTTCACAATTTATGGCTCGAAACTCTTCTGCACGGTCACTGAATGCAATGATCTCAGTTGGACATACAAATGTACTAAACAAAGAGAAAAAGAGAAGCCACAGTGTTCAGTGTAAGCCTCGATATTCAATACAATGTACAAAAATAACACTGCAGTCACATTAAATCTTTCAATGGGAGTCATGATTACATATTATTATTAGAATAATTGGGTATACTGTACTTACATTTTACTGATTTTTGCAAATAAATTACAGTAAAACCCTGCATATAAGAACCTAGATTTTTCCAAGTTAGCCTTAACAGGTTCTTATGTAAATGGTGCTTACAGGAAATTAGGCGACTCATGTTGTATATAATTTGTGTAAATTATGCACAAATTATCTAACAGTCCATGAAGCTGTAAAACATTGCTTACAGTTACTAGTACTGTAGTTGAGATTGTCATGTAGTATTTTCACTGAAGAAATACAGTTATTTGTTGTTGTTGTTGTTGTTGTATTCATATAGACATGTTATTTATCTGAATGACATTTCCAGGGTTCCTGGGATTTGATAAAATAAGAACATGCTTTGGAACAGGGTAAGGGGCAAGAATAGCCTAATTGCTCTCCACCATAAAGGTCAACTAAAACAGAAGTCCCTCTCCTACACCACCAAATGCAAGGGTGGATTTTCATTTTTTCTAATGGGGTGCAAGGGGCACAACTGAGCGAGCTTCGGCAGGGGTTAGGTAACTTAGGTGTTTGGGTTAAAGACTTTGACACAAAATAGGAAGGGTGAAGAGAAATTTTGGTGTGGTTGAACACCGGGAACAACAGAGGGGTTAGAGAGATCCTAAGGGGGGTTTAACCCCCCCCTCCCCCCCATGAATCTGCCTATGACCAAATGAGTTGAATGGGTCAATGAAAAATAAGGTTTAATTCACAATATATTTATAACAATTACAATTATATTATATTGGATGATTAAGGAATGCATTAGAATGATTAGATACTGTAAGTTACCCACTGAGCTGGCACACTCCCCCTTTGACAAGTAAAATCATCTGGTGTTAGACAGAATAATTTATAATGTAAAATTATAGTTAAAGTAGGGCGCAATGTAATTTAATGGGTTAATAGAACCTTTTTGGGTGTTTTAAAGTTTTAAAATATAATTTATTAAATGCCTTATGCCTAGGGATGCCGGAACTGGGGGGGGGGCAGAAGGGGCAGCCGCCCACCTTTCCCTTTACCAGGAGGGCCAAGGGGGGCCAAGGGGGGCCAAGGTGCCCTTTCAATTTAAAGGATTGCCTTGGCAAAATAGCGAATTGTCAGAAATATTAGTGCAATTCTTTTACGAATTTGCTTCAGAAAACGCAAGAAATGCAGTCATCGAGTTTCAAGAATAGCACAATCGCCTGGCGGAGAACCCCCTCACACCCCTATCATCCAATAAATAGAAAACATGATTAAGCGAAGTTCAACTGCCCGATGTTTTGCAAACATCTCTTAGTTTTATATATATATATCAATTCAAAAGTGCCCTTTCGCAAAAATCTGCCCCCCTTGCCTTCACATCGTTCCGGCGTCCCTGCTTATGCCTTGCTAGACTAAAAATCAGCCACCTTAAAAATGTGCATTGCATTTACATGTATAATAATATACATAAAGATATTACTCGACTGTGATTGGTTGATTTCAGTGCAGTTAATCCCAAACAGCAGTGCAATTTTCTGTAATCACAG